CTCTAGACTTCCTTTATTGTGCAACTTTGCACGAGAATGGACATGGAGTTGAGAGATAACATCTATGACTGGACTGTTTCATCAGTAGCCAGTTCACTAGCACAGTTTGAGCCAAAAAAAACAGCTCAATCATTGCTAGACAATAGGTGACTGGTACACATATTGCAACCCTAACCCTCTTTGGTTTTGTCCTAAATATTAAGGACTGCAGTCTTAAAAAGACAAACCAAAACCATCTTATTTGCTTCAAGACTTTGTCATTGTTTGATGCAAGAAAAGGGTTTCCACATGTGCCTGTTTGATATTAGTTTTAAGGAAACAAAAAGAAACCAAATATGTCAATTGTTCTAACCCCAGAATGTTTGTTGTTTAACAGCTGAACTACAAAAGGGGAATTCCTATGACTCTGAATGAACTTGGTTTGATGTGATGGACGTCGGATTGTTAATAAATGCTACAAAATCTTATGGATAAAATCCAACAAAGGACTCTGGATAAAAGACAGGCAAAAAGGAAATTTGTTTTGAAGTAACTCCTTGAGTAGAAGCCAATTGTGTTTCTCTGTCAGACTGACCACCAGAGATGGCAAAAGTAGTAGAAGTACACATACTTGTGTTTAAAAATACTCTGGTGAAAGTAGAAGTACTGACTAAACTTCTTTACTCAAGTAAAAGTAAAGAGGCTTTGAATACTTCAGTAAAAAGTACCCATAACTCCCAGCTGATTTAAAGAGTACCTGACCTCCCTTTATATAAATAGAACAATAATGTCATTGTTAGCTAATGAATGTTTCCATGCTGAACAACGGCAACATGACAACGTTTCCATTGGTCCCTCTTCTTTAGAGAAGACCAGGAAATGATGGATACACGGATCGTGTTCAAATCAATAGGCACGCAATGACTCTAAAGAATAATGATCACGCATCAAACACACATTCAGACTAAAGGAACCAGCTGTTTGGGAAATGAGAGAAGTAGAAAGTACAGGTATTTGAGTTCAACATGTAAGAAGTAGAAAGTACAGGTATTTGAGTTCAACATGTAAGAAGTAGAAAGTACAGGTATTTGAGTTCAACATGTAAGAAGTAGAAAGTACAGGTATTTGTGTTCAACATGTGAGAAGTAGAAAGTACAGGTATTTGAGTTCAACATGAGAGAAGTAGAAAGTACAGGTATTTGGGCTCAACATGTAAGAAGTAGAAAGTACAGGTATTTGAGTTCAACATGTAAGAAGTAGAAAGTACAGGTATTTGAGTTCAACATGAGAGAAGTAGAAAGTACAGGTATTTGGGCTCAACATGTAAGAAGTAGAAAGTACAGGTATTTGAGTTCAACATGTAAGAAGTAGAAAGTACAGGTATTTGTGTTCAACATGTAAGAAGTAGAAAGTACAGGTATTTGTGTTCAACATGTAAGAAGTAGAAAGTACAGGTATTTGTGTTCAACATGTAAGAAGTAGAAAGTACAGGTATTTGAGTTCAACATGTAAGAAGTAGAAAGTACAGGTATTTGAGTTCAACATGTGAGAAGTAGAAAGTACAGGTATTTGAGTTCAACATGTAAGAAGTAGAAAGTACAGGTATTTGGGTTCAACATGTAAGAAGTAGAAAGTACAGGTATTTGAGTTCAACATGTAAGAAGTAGAAAGTACAGGTATTTGGGTTCAACATGTAAGAAGTAGAAAGTAAAAAGTCCTCAGAAAAATAAGTAGTGGAGTAAAGTACTCATACCAGAAAGATGTACTTAAGTACAGAAACTAAGTATTTGTACTCCACTACTTCCCACCTCTGCTGACCACAGTAATGGCTACACTTGTCCTGCTGGGAAGTAAATGCTCCTGTCTCAGCAGAAAATAAGAATTGGGGGTGCGATGGAGGATGACAGTGGACGGAGGGAACAGAGATAAAAATCCAAAACACTGAAACCTTACACTTCCCACGAGACAAGAATCACTTCACACAAAACCTTCAGTTACCCAACAAGTTGTAACACGTCAAATCTCCCCCCCGGGCGGATAGGCCATGCAAATCCCTACTGTTGTTCTGCCTTTTCTTTTCTTCTCTTCCTTTGTTACCTCCTTCATTCTCTCACTCTTTTATTCCCCCCCCCTTCCCTCCCGCCTCCAGACAGAAGCAGCTTGGTCGGTTTATATCGTCCATGTCGCTTTCCAACTAGTGCCTGAGGCAGAATAGCAGAGAGTTCACACAATAGACAAGGAGAGAGTGCCAGGACTCTGTCTCAGGATGAAGTGTCGCCATATAAACATGTTTGCATGGCGATAAACAAATAAAGACATTCTCATTGTCAACCGTGAGACTGACAGCTGTAACGGCAGACGATTCTCCGCGGGACCGTATCAAAGGCAGAAAAACCACAAAGCATGTCTCAGTCAAAACAGAAAAAGCTGAATGTTAAATATCCTACATGCTGGTTTTTGCACATTTTAAAAACAAAACAAACCAGATTACGACACCTTTGTTGTACAATACTACTTATGTGCAATATCTACCTATTACTGGCTGCCTTCTTAGTTCGACAACTTCAATACTGGAACACAGTAACTGTGCAATGTATAACTTTGCTTCTGTACCTAGCATCTACCACACCACACCATATTTTATTCTATAAATGCTGTTGCTACTTTTTCTACCCAAATGTTTAGAACGAATGTGGGTAACACTTTATTTTGATAGTCCATATTTAACACTCTATAAGTCATCAGTTGACATTTAGTAGCATGTCAACAGCGTATTAACCAATATTCAACCTTACTATCTGTATATTGTGTCAACATCTTCAAAATTGACAATCAACTACTCAAAATCAATCTGTCAGTTGAAAGTCAACAGGGTGATGTCGACTATCTGTTGAGTCTGTTGAGAGTCAAGATGTCAACTAAAGATTACATTAAGCATTAGTTGGTGAGCAACTTTAGAGTTTAGTTGACTATCTGTTGATCGTCAACTCATCTAGAGTTGACTATCAGTATACTTTTAGTAGGTTCTCCACTAAGCGTTTGTAGGCATGTGTTAGGACTATCCAATCAAAGTGAAACACAGTTGAGAACAGTAGAAAGTCTATAACCTATCAACACATACATGCATCCACTAATGATATGTAACAGACATGGGAATACAGCGAAATGTTTTGCACAACTGATCACAAACTGTATTTATTCATTATGTATGTAATGTTTGAGTTAGAAACACCTGTTCCTGTTTTATTTGACTAATATATAAGATAAATACAGAAGCCACTTGAGAAAAAAAGTTTTTTCACAAGAACTCACAATCTACAGATAGTAAGGTTGAATATCGGTTAATAACCTGTTGCAAAAAACATGTTGACAGTCAACAGACACTTTTTGTTAAATCCATAGATCAACACTTGAGATGTACATTATATTCTACTGGCAGTTAGTTAAATGCATGTTACTCGTCTGTTGAAACAGTGTTGTTGAATGTCAACTGATGACTTGTAGAGTGTTAACTATGGACTATCAAAATAAAGTGTTACCCGAATGTGTACTTGATTTCCCTTCTTCACATTTTCTAACTTTCTTCATTCATCGAGTGACGCGCTCGAACGTGGAAGTTTCCAACCTGCCATTTATAGATCATATCTAGCAGTATTTGATTAGGGATGATAAAGCAATCCAGCGAGTGTCTGTCTGCCCACAGGCCGCGGCTCGTTTGCATATTTCCCTTTGATTGACACCTGGTGATCAATGCGGCTTTTCTTGGACGTAGAGAAAAGTGAGCAATGCAACAGAAGCACAGCAACGAAGAAAACACTAAAAAAGGCAATCAAGCAATTCATTTCAATGAAACCAAGTGAAAAACAAGTTCTCCTAACCCCTGATGAATGTGTGTTTAACAGCTGAGCTACAGTAGGTGGATTCTTATGACTCTGAATTAACTCACATATTCAGTTGGATGACTGGTAGTTAACCCTTAGATGCATAAGTGGGTCTTTTTGACCCGGTGAGGTGGTTTTCTTGAAGTATCCTATCATTTTATTATCATTTCATATTCCAGCTATTCCTCAAAAAACATGTTTTGGATATCATGCCATTCTAATTTTTTATTTACATTTTAGTATTTCTACCCCAAGTGGGTCAACAATGCATAAGTGGGTCAACAATGCATCTCCTATGGGATCCTATGGGAAAACGATTTTTTCAAAATTAAAAAATAATGTCTGAAATTATAAATAGTGAAAAATTAAATATAACATATTTCTAGTGTGAACCAAAATATAATCCTAAATATTATACAAGTGATTTTTCTTAACCAAAATGACAAAAATGGCATAAAAACACATTATTCTAATACGGGTCCTTTTTGACCCACTTATGGACGAGTGTAGGGTCCAGTCACTCTAAGGGCATCTAAGGGTTAATAAAGTGATGGTCAGTCTGAAGGATTCCTGGTCTTTTTAACACTGAAGAGTTTTTGATTCGACACATCTGTTCTTCTCACTTGGAAAAAACTGAAAAGATTGACTTGTTTAAACGTGTTGTGTTGTTACATAGCTGTTAGTTTAAAGCAATAATCATCAGCTTCATTTGAAGAGACCATTTTTAAAAGACAATCAAATATAAATTGTTGTACCAATTGTACCAATGTTTCCACAGAGGTGACTGGCATCGTACAGTACTGAGACACGGTGACACTTAATAATGTTAAGTTCAACCTAATTATGTTATATCAAACTCACAACTAACCTAATACAGATATGGGAAATCTGTTGACATAATATGTTCATTTAGGGTCAAAGTTTCAGTTTTTTCAGTGTAATTGTAATCTGTGAGGAAAACTTGTGGATAAAACCCAACATAAAGTAGCTTCTGGCATTGCTCCGTACATTTTGTAACTCTGGCACAAGAATTGCAAGAATTAAGTCTGTTCTTATCCAAGTAAGACGAAGAAAAAAGGCAATCAAGCAATACAATGTAACTGTAAAATCACATATTAACGTGTAGTTTTCTGCACTGACCTGGTTGGGAGGAATGAGGAGACCCAGCAGCGCTCCCTCACTGGAACAGATCTGCTGACACAAGCCATCGTGACTGCTCTCCCTCTCCACTAACGCCTCTCTTTTTGTACGCTCCTGTTACCTCTAACCTCTCAAGAGGGGAAGTACAAAGAG